AAAAAAAAAATGAAAAATGGGAGAATATGAAGGAAAAAAGGGAACCTCGCGCGATATGCCATCTGGTTTTCTCTGAGATTCTTTGGGAGGCTTAGACTTCTTCTCTTGTATAGACAATGCACTTTTGGGCAACCCTAGTATGTCCTTCGCGTCCATTTCAAATCCAAGCTTTTTCCACAGGCCAACAAAACGAAGAATTAAAGTCACAACCAAGTGTTGTTCGCTAAACCCTAAAATCAGTCAGGGGCGAAAAACTTGACGACCGTCAACTATTTTGCACCAAAAAGGGAAAATTCGAAGAAATTAGGGCGTCCCGTCGTGTAGGAGAACGATTCAGGGGAAATGAAAGATGAAGGTCAGACGATTTACCCGGATCCGGATCGGTACCACTTCTTCTTCAGCCCAACTGATATTTGGCCCATAGTTTGTCGGATATTGGGCCAGGCACTAATTTAGGCTGACGAAGCCATGTTCATTGCTTAAGTAAAATCCTTTTTTATTTTAATGCAAAAGTAAATTCTCAACGAAAGTTTATATAGCGTCGTCGATAAATGAACTGATGCATGGAGCTTGGATTACATCTTTATGAGTCATTGCTAGCTTGGGCTTTTGGTTGGGCTTCTGGTTTCAACATTTGTATGTATGTCCTTTTTCGGTTTGATTGCTTATAATTAATTTAATTTTCTAAATACACATTTTATAATCTTTATTATTTGTTTATATACTTAGGGCCTGTTTACTTTGTATGACAGGACGGGATTACTCAAATTGTCCCTCAATATTCAATGTTTACATTAATTGATTGGGACAGGACTAAATGATGTGGAAGCACATGTGGCGGCGGGGCCCACAGTGAAATCCTTTGTTGCCCGATTATTTCTGTCCCGCCTAGACCCCCTGATTTTTTTGTCCTACACTGTTCATCACTTTTTTGTCCTCAAAATTGTATGTAAAAAGTCTAAAATACCCCTCAACATATATTTAATTACAATAACCTACCATTTAACTATTAAATTCTCTGTTGAATTTTACCCTAACCTAGCAATCGAAAGTGCAGAGGAGTCTGGAGCTCATCTTCATTCTGTCGCCAAAGTAAGCTCGAATCTCACTTTTTTTTTGTGTGTATTTTCGATAATGCACACACCACTTAAATTATTTTGGTAGCTCTCTTCAAAATTGACAGAAATTCAGCAAAATCAAACCCACATATTCCTTGTTTATTAGAAAAATTTAAGGTTCAAATAAAAGTAAAATAAATGCCTAATACAAGCCCAACTCAAATTTGCAATCCTGGTTCTCGGAATGGCGTCAAAACCCGCAGCCGTGGTACCTCACAGTTGACATTCAATCATGAGTTAGTTCAGAGGCGGGAGCGGTGAATCAGAGAAAGGTGAGTGGCAACAAAGTGGATTCGGCCGGCGTCGGAATCTCGTGCTCGCACCTCGCTGCGCTAGGCCGCCCACCTCTCCAATTTAGGGTTCGAACGAGAAACACAGAGAGGGGGGAAAATCTGATATGGTGTCGTTGGCATAATTTCCATCCTTTGTGTACAAGGACAAATATGTCATTTCATGATATATTACCTTATTTAGTCTCATATAGTAAACAATTTATTAGTTTCAGAAAATGTCATCACACAAAGTAAACAACCGATTGTTTGCTGACATGTAAAGTGTCATTGATTAAATTGTCTAATCCTGTCATACAAAGTAAACGAGCCCTTATTGTTCATAATTATCCTTTCTGCCCATTATAAACTTGACACGAAATATTTGGTACATTTATTTATATGAGGCTTTGAATGACTTTTACTTTTATTTTTATTCAACTGCTGAAAATATTACGTATGTTGATTACTATTATGTTAGTGTGTAGGCTCGTTTGTGTAGAAAGATGGGATACTACATATGGTAGATTTACTTATTGTATAATTTTATTAATATGGTAGATTTACACTAATAACACTAATATAATTTTATTACTTAAATAACACTAATATAGAATATTGGCTACACTATAGTGCCAACTGTTGGCTTCATATCAAAACTGGAAAGATGGGATACTACATATGTCTGTTACCCTGAACTTGTTCAAATGATTAACACGATCCGTGATATATATATATAATTCGGTCTGCTTAAAGCTTGCCAAATAATGAAATAGAGAATATACAACAACCCAGCCCCATGCATACAGTAATATTCCGATAATAGTAATATGATAATAACAACACAACAAGGATCCAACAACTTGAGAAGAACCATTTATTTTCATAAGATCTGTAGTGCCACACGAGCGAAACCACTAGAAATCTCAGTAAGTTCGATCAACTATTTACTCCTACTTTCACAAAATAGGAATAGAGAGATCCCACGAGGTTGACGAAAATCCACAAAATCATCACAAAAAATTCATTTACTCAAAGACGATATCGTTCTTAACTAAAGCAAAGGTTGAGGGAATCTTCAACAAAACCCAAAACATTGGATAAATGGCCAACAATGTCCACCTCGAACAGAAAGCACTCAGGCCTGGAAAATGCATTAAATTCGATAAGCAAACGAGCTTGGGTTAAAGGTGCCATTGTTTTTTGGGGTAGAAAAAAATATACTTCCTAACTAGATTAACCTCCCTGCAATCCTTACCTTGTTAGCAATGTTGTTTGAGAGCCAGTCCAGTCCCTCATACAGCCCTTCCCCAGAAGTTGCACAAGTGCTCTGAATGTACCTGCATTTTCAAAAGGCAACATTATTAAGTAGCTACGCGTAGAAGTATCACTTTGAAAAGCAAAAAGCTAGAAAGGGTCAAACTCATAAATAATATACCAATGGCGTTGACGGAGAGAATGAAGGCCCAGCTTGTCAGTTATTTCAGCAGCATTCATTGCATTTGGAAGATCTTGCTTGTTGGCAAATACTAGGAGAACAGCATCACGCAGTTCATCCTGACCGAGAGGAATCAAAAAAAGAACACTCAATAATTTGATAACAGTTCAAAGTTTGCTACCCGATATCATATGAGCTTTTAGATTCTAAAAAAAAAAAAAAATTGGCATAGCACTAACAGCGGGCAGGTGGTAAAATAATTTTTATCTTTTACAGGGAGGGTATAATGATGGTGATGCAAAGTTTTGATGTTGCTTAGTTAAAATTTTAAGAATAAAAATATTTGGGGTCGTCGTACCTCATTCAACATTCTGTGCAGTTCATCCCTTGCTTCCACAACACGATCCCTGTCATTGCTGTCAACAACAAAGATAAGGCCCTGAGTGTTCTGGAAATAGTGCCTCCACAATGGACGGATCTGCATAACATACAAGATGCATCAAAGTTGGATGTCTGAACTTGAACGCTGGGTTAATTGGTTAAATAAATTAAATTGAGCAAAACCAAAGCAAAAGCAGTTTGAAATTGTTAAACAATGCCAAGTTCTTTGATCTAATAACAGAATAACTTTTGCTTCCAAATCATGAGGGAGAAATAAGAAATTATGGTACCTTGTCCTGGCCCCCAACATCCCAAACAGTGAAGCTAATATTCTTATACTCCACGGTCTCCACATTGAATCCTGAATAAAACCATACCATGAGCTCAAAAATTGCAGTGTTTATCCAATAACAGTGCTGACCCATTAATAGACGAATAAAGGCAAGAAGGCAGTGAGTAGCCACTAAGCGTACCAATAGTAGGAATCGTGGTAACAATTTCTCCGAGCTTAAGCTTGTAGAGAATGGTAGTTTTACCAGCAGCATCAAGACCTACCATCAGTATGCGCATCTCTTTCTTGGCAAAAAGCCGGCTGAAAAGCTTAGTGAAAGACAACCCCATCTCGGAACTGGAACATAATCACAAAGTACAGATAAAGGGGAAGGCACTAGGCAAACACATCATAAAATTACCATTTCATTGTACAAAATTAAAGGGTCAGCAGAATTAATATAAATCAAAGCCCAGTTCGAAGACCGCTCTTCTGTCAGTACTAAGATACACGCATAAATACCATATATGATACATGGTGAGCAAAAAAATGTATAATAAACATCAACAACCATATATCAGGGACAATCACACTGCAATATGTACCTCAAAAATACCATTTCAAAAAAGTTCTAATCAGAAAAAACCACATCCATCATATTGTCAACAATTACTCATCATGAGCGAGAAAACAAAAGATCTCAGATCACCCATACTGGATCGTGCATCCGCGCAGAAGATTAAGGCCGAGGAATATCAAATAAAAACGAGATCAACACAAATGCAAACACAATAACCATCAAACAGGATCGAATGCGATGATCTACATGCGAATCGCATCACAATTCATATAATCGAATATAACAATGAATTCACAATATGGAAACGTATCTGAACTTGAAATGCAAGAGAATGAGCATTGCTTGGTAGAGTTACCAATCAACAGAGCCTAGGGTTTCGAAAACCTGAAAAAATTGGAGAAAAATAATGAGATTGATATGCTTACATTGAAGATTAGCGGTGGGGAGAGAACAGCGTAGGGATCTCTCAGCAGCACAAGATCTCCCGACCAAAACCAGAGGAGATGAATCGTCTGTCTAATCACGTAGTAGTTTAGCGGAGCAAGACGCGTCTTTAGCTGAAGTGTTGCCATATATACTAATTTAGGGGTGGGTGCATTAATTTTCTTCTAATTTCACGAGTCTCCTCATTTTTAGGTTAATATGAAGTGTGTATAGTTGATCATATGGAATCATTTCGTCAGGTTTGTAATCGTCAGATTATCATGTAATCATCATTGATAGTTAATCTAATGGTTACAAACATCGATGGAATAGTTCCATAACGAGATGTAGCATTTCATGTGTGTATGATAATTTTGGTGACAATCTAATTTCTTTCCTTATTTTCTCCTTCATTTAACCAAAGAACACATATCAAATACTACCTCATTTTTTAAATAAACTAGTACGTACCCCGTGCGATGCACGGGACAAAGATATTAAATGAGTTATTTTCACATGTTTGGCCATTTTTTCACATCTTTTAATCAGCGTTGTTTTGGTCAGAACATTAACTATAAGCATGTTAGGGCTAGTTTGTAAAATAATTTATATATTATCTCACTAACACATTTATACTAATATAAATTTGAGTTTAGTATATATATATATATATTCATTGATATAAGAGAAAATAACGATTCTAATTTTTCTAGTTCACTATATGATAACTAATTATTATTTTATTATAATTTTTGTTGTCATATAATGTTATTATAAAAGTTATAGAAGTTGTACGTCTTCTTTTTATTTCTATTTTATGTAATAAAAAATATTTACTTCACGTTAGTATTTTTTATTTATGTAATCAATTTAAAATATGTAAATAAATTTAAAATTAAATAGTGTATAATTATTTTACAAAATATGCACACATGTTTTTTAGAATTTAATTTTGTATACTGACTAAATATATAACTTTGATTTAGCAAATGCCACAAACTCAATTCCCTCTGTAATCAAGATTTTTTTTTTAATTTACATTATAAGGATTTATAATTTATTTAGCATACTCTGTAATGAAAATATATTTTACAAGAATTTCATTATAGAAAGAAATCAAAATAAAAAAAATGATACAACAGATAATCACGGTTGTCAATAATATACAAATAAATTCTAAAGAACAGTATATTCATTTTTTTTTTTTCCGAAACGATAGAGATATTATATATCAAAATGCACAACTGTGCAAGAAAGCAGCCCAAGGCTGAATAATACAACCCGGAACTAGAAACTGGGAGGACGGATCGAATGACCGCCTAGAGCCTCGCTAGCCACGCTAGAATAGAAACACACGACACAACTAAAAACAAAAACATCAACACACCAACTAAGAACGCTCCCCACAGGAGAATAGGTACGCCCCCCACGGGGGAATCATAACCGAGGCCAACGGCCCAAACCTAAAAAACGAGACCAAAAAGAGAAACACATACTGAAACCAAAACACAATCCTACAACACAAAGAAAAAAAAGGAACTAAAATTAACAAAAATACAAGCCCTTCCCCAGCAACCGAGAAATCCCGAACCAGCAG